GGTTCTGTATCTAGAGTTACTTTGAGACGCATTGCTGAAGAGTTATCGAGGTTTAATTATGTTGGAACTGTCAAACAATCATGTAGTTGTACTCATAGAACAAATTATGAGTTACCTTGTGCTTGTGAGTTAGGGAGGTACGTTTTTGGTGGTATACTAATACTAATAGAAAGTGTTCATGTTCATTGGAGGAAGCTAAGTATGGAAGTTGAGTTGCAGGCAAATGTAGAAGATGGATCGGAGGTTGACATTAAAAACAACACATAACAAAAAACATAAAAACAACACTTAACGAAAATACATAAAAACAACATATCTAGAAGCCTTTTGGCGATTCTGGATGCTTCAACATTTTTATGAGGTCTTCAGCATATCTAGTAACACGCGCTTCAAACTCAATCAGTCCCTTAGTTAACCTACGGAGGTATGATTTCCACATGGCCTTCATATCTTCAACGCTCTGCAACTCTACAACGTTGTAACTTATCCTTCCATAAATATCCATGTTCCAGTTTTCACGGTATGAAATCTTCTTCACCCTTCTGTTATCGCCTTCAGGTAGCAACTCGTAGTTAATATTTTCCTTCAATGAATCGACGTTCAAGAATCCGTCCAAAATGGGCCATAAAGCATCCACCTTTATGGCTCCTTGCTTGTAGGACCATCTCATAGCTCTAGGAAGTCCAAGGTTTTCAGCTGGTGTCCAATTTTCTTCCTTTTTTCCAAGTACGGGAAAATACTCGTGAATTCAACACTGTTTCAATGTCAATAATTTAAATTAAAAAAAATTACTACATTAGTATAATAACCTATTTAATAAAGAAATTTAATAAATACTTGAAGAAGAGTGAGATATCCAGCAAGTTGTTTGCACCCAAACACATATGCATCTCCAAGAGCATCGTATAGGGTAACCAATGCAGCTGCTCCCCAACTATAACGGTGAAGATCGTTCAAGTCCCTAAATAACAGCAGATATTTTGCCTCGACAAGCGTAAATGTCTTGTCAGAAAAAATAGTACAACCAACCAACAACAATAGATATGCTCTAGTTGCATATGCTCAAGAAGAAGCGGCTCGATGATGTACAAATAAATCATACAACCACTCCAACTTATAATGTGGTCCTCTGCATGCTCGAACCCGACTCATTGCAACAGACCTTGGCACTCTCAAGTAGTCAACGGCAAGAGATGCAACAACATCTTCTATAACATGCTCGAGACTCTAGAAGACGCCCCTTATGAGAAAGTGAAGCAGACACGCAACATCATCAAGAGTAATTGTCATTTCACCATGTGGCATGTGAAATGAATATGTCTCTGAGTGCCATCTCTCTGCAAAAGCTGAAATCAGGTTCGGGTCTATCTTGTGTAAACTAGTTCTTTGTAGCGAGGTTAGACCGGATTGGTTCACCCAATACCCGATCTCTTTCGGGAGTTGAAGTGGAACCCAACTCTGCAGCTTCAGCCGTGAGCAGCACATTTAAGCTCCTTCTTCGCACCTCTCTCCTGAAAACAAAAATATGCATATTAATAAACACAAATAAACAATATAAATTTAGGAAATTTATTTAACATAAAAATTCCATTTACTTACATGCTCATACCATAGACGTCGAGCACAATAATGTTCGTATCTAACCAAAAGAGATAAGTCAGACGGTCCTTCTGGATATTCTTCAGGCTTCTTTAGAGATTGTGAAACATATCTAGATGCATCATCCTGCCTCCGAGGAAATCTACCGTCTGATCCTAATGTGCGCATCATCCTACAAAACAAAACAAAAAAGTAAGAAAAAATATTTAAAAAAATTCAAACCGGAACACATCTTAAAAGTGTTCTAGTTTACAAAACCTGGAAATTTTCGAAAGACTTATAAAATGTGTTCTGGTGTGCTAGTTAATGAACCAGAAGAGTTATTAAATGTGTTTCGAAAATTCAAACTCAAACCGGAATACTTCTAAAATGTGTTCCGGTGTATTAAATTTTTCAGAAGAGTTGAAAAAAGTGTTTCGGTGCACAAATTTTTTTAGAACACTTAGCTAAAGTGTTTCGGAGTAGAAAAATATGAACTGAAGACTTGCAAAATGTGTTCTAGAATGTATTCTGATTTAGAGTTTTTCGAAAGAGTTTGTGAGGGTGAAAGTAAGAAATAATTTTTTTATAAAAATTATACTATTTATATGAAAGGCATTTTCGTCCAAAAATACAATATATAAAACAGGGGTATAAAATAAAAAACTTTTAACTAGTCGTGATTCAGGCCTATAACTTATTACTTAACGGGCCAGTTTTAGTCTTGCTTTGTTCAGGTAGGAACATGAATCAAACATATCATAGAATATGACTACTGTATAACTTAAATTCTTCAAGGTTGAAAATGTTGGCGGATTTTTTTTAATTCTTTAATATTGAATGTCCTCTTGTAGGTTACTCTCGTGAGCCTTTTATAGATGTGGATTCACTAAATGGATGTTTTATTAAAAAGAAGAAAAAAACTCGTCATTCAATTTTAAAATTAAATACCAAAGAACAAAAATGAACTATTGATTTGTGCTTTATGAACCTCATTGCCGCTTTTAAATTACTATCAGAAATTTAATTGTTCTTTTGAAAATATGTTATAATATTTGGTAAGAATAATTGTTGTCTAATAAGCTAACTAGTAATCACCAATTATAATGATTAATGACTGATAGAAGACTTTTTCTAATAAATTAATTAAAGTATCTGATAAAATTAAAGATTTAATTAATTAATAAATTAAAATAACATAAAAGAAATTTAATATATAATTGTTTTATTTTAAATTAAAATAAATTATAAAAATAATAGTGAATTTTAATTTTAAAAAATAAAAAAATAAAAAACTACAATTATAAATTAAAATACTATTTAAAATAACGTCTAAAATTTAAATTAATAAAATAAATTATAAACTCAGTAATAAAAAACTGTTACCAAACAAATATTTATTGTCACGTGAATTTATAAACTATAAGTTCAAAATAAATCTACACAACATGCCCTCGAGAGTCGACACACAAGCCAACTTAATCCAATGTTTTGATGAGTAAAAACTAAATTCTTCAATTTATTTATTCTTTTCAATGGAAAATAAACACGACTAGTCTTTACTCTTAAAAATAATAGTGTAATGTGAAAAGACAGACAAAGCATGGGGAACAACACATAAACTCGTGAAAAAATTGTCTAAACATGAGCTGGTAGCTAGGAAAGAAAAAGGTACACCGACCATGGTAAAAAATCAAGAGCAATTATAGTCGAAAGAGCAATAGCAGTATTTAATGTGAAGAGAAGAGCTTATTCACATTACAGCTTACTGCTTTGAAACATTGCAAGCTCACAAACCCCATAAGCTTTGTTTTTTCTAAAGAAAAACTCAATATCCGATTATTCCAGAGAACACAAGGTGGTTATATCATGTAGTGCATGTTTGGATTTGACAGAAAGCATAAACAATGAGATACTAGTACTAAACATGCAAGAAGTAATCTTGTGTTGCGGTGCTGAAGTCATGCAAGAAACATAATTTAGTAACTGTTCCCATGCTCCAAGACAACATAACCCTCCGTGATACACGCCAACCACATATCCAAATATAAAAATATGCATAAAGCAGTATTCATCACATGATGCAGGCTCGTGTACCCAATTTGTCCAACATATCTGATTTAGAGTTAAGAAAATGCAAAAAAATGAGTCCCATCCCATATCAAGTAGCTGCCATATTGAAAGAGCAACAAAGAATCCCTCATGGCATATGATTGTCTTGAAACACCCAGCATTACATTATTAAATATCAAACAGTAGTCAACACAAAATCCATTCAAAAGATAAAAGAATGATATAAAATTGAAGTGGAATGACAACCAGCTTCATCACCCAATCTAAACAGGAATCTCAGTGAATTTGAAGGTAACAAAGTTATCTTGCAACCTTCCATGAAGCTGGCATTTTCAACTTTGCTTGCTTATCCGAAAGATTCTTTGGTTTAAAACCAAAACTTTCAGACATACTGAGCGTATACATCAATTAATTAATGAATCTAAAAAGTAAAATTTGTTTATAAAAGAGAACGGAGGGAGTATATATTTTCCCAGATCGGTAAATCAACATAGTAATTTGTTACTGAAATGAAGAATATTGGGATGGATCTAAAATTCCATTAAATTCGAGTGCTTAAATGCAAGAACAATGCAATGTGCTAACTAAAAGCTCGAACTGTACAAGTGTGTAGCAATTCAAGAGAAAATAGACTTGCCAAAATTCATCATCAAGATCAACCATCCATAGCAGCTCTGACTTGATGAAATATTCTTAAAAGTGGAACCTCATACTGTAATAAGTAATAACTACTATAAAATTTGACTGCAACTTCTGGGGCAAGTGTTTTCCAAAGAAAAACAATGACTGCAAATGTTCGTTTAGGTTTTGACAGAGAGAAAGATAACATGGAGGAAAGATAATATTCTCTTCGTTGTAAATTCTTCTTACAGATGTTTCACTTTCATCCCCAAAGAATAGGGAGTAACACTATTTACCTTGATTATACACACATTGGCACCAAGATTTCATAACAGTTAGTTTTACATCTCTATAAGGGAAAGACATACATTGTAAACCAAATGGAAACTGGAATCAAGATGTAAAATGTAACCCATAGAGCTAATATTCTGGAAACCAGGTGAAAAAATTATAACTATAAAGCAATACACTTCAAAAGATCAATTAACAACTTTGCCATTTTCACAGCTAAGCTAACAACAAAGAGCTAGCTAGCCCATCATCATTATTCAATATACAAAAGAACCCTATCCCATTCACAACAAAAATTTGATGTTCTTTTCATTTTGTACAAAGGATCCACCCAACAAGACAGACCCAATAAACCAAATAAGCAAAACTAACCTCCTCACAAGGGAGAGAAATACACATCTTCCTTTCCATCATCAACTGATCAGGTGATAGTTGTTTCAGCGAAGAACCCGAATCAAATTGGAGGAATTTCTCCTAACTTTCTCATTATCATCCTCTAACAACCCATGACAGATTTCCAAAACTCCTTCTTGCAGGGTCACCAAAAGCATTTCCTTGCTATGAAAACACAGTAAAGTAAGTGCCAACACTGCATACTGAATCCCTCTTGAGCTTCCAATCCTCAACACACGAACCAGAATCTGCACACAACCACTGTAACTCTCCAATTGTTCCCTCCCTTCCTTACACTTAGCCAAAACACCAATAACCTCAACACCTCTTTCAAGTCCACATTCAACACATCTCATTAAAATCGGCACCGCGCCACAATCCACCGCCCTTTTCCGATTATCCCGAAAACAGCAAAGCGCGTAAAGTGCAGTAGCCGCTTCTTTCCTCTCTCTCCCCTTCCCATCCCGAAGAATCGCCACCAAAGCTCCGATTGCTCCCGGGAAAGCCCCGATAGTCGCTTTATTAACCTCCACGACAGCAAGGCTCGTGATTATAGTTGCAGCCAAAGCACGGCAGTCAGACGAGGCTGCACGGAGGAGAAAAGCGACGACGCGGGAGATTGCTCCCTCGGCGACAAGTCCAATCTTAGTGTCGTCGTCGAGGCTAAGGTTGAGAAGAAGAGATAGAGCCTTCTCCTGAAGCTTAGAGTCACCGGAGGAGGAGTCGATGCAGAAAAGGACGGCGAAGACAGCACCGGAATCAACAAGACGGCGGCGGAAGTTAGCGTCACGCTTGGAGAGTCGACCGAGTTGCCGGAGCGAGTCGATTTTGAAATCGGAGGAAGACGAAGAAGCGGTTAAAGACGAAATTAGGGTTTCCGGCTGGGACATGATCTGGTGCAGCGGTGGTAAGAGTGTGTAGGTAGAGATTAAGCTTCGAAGAGCGTGATTGGGAATAAGGGAAGGATTATCAGGGAGGGGTAGTTTCGTAATTGGACAAGTTCTGTGACCATCGTCTAGCCATCGTTGGATTGAAGGACGATCGAATGTGTGGCCGGAAGATAAGATGACTGGGTCAGACATTATTTCGAGGGAAATCGGACATTTGAAGTGTTCGGGGAGATGAGTCGCCATAGCGAAACGGTGTCGTTGCTCTGCTGGTTTGAAGTAGTTGAGCGTGTTGGTGACTCAGTGAGTGAGTTAGAGGGTTTATGAGGTTTTGTGAAATGGAACGTAATTGGCTGTGATTTTTTCTTCCTTGGGTTCCGCCATTGTTCCTTTTAGCTTTGTCAGGGATTGTTATTTGTTTTTTTTATAAGACGATAATGCCCTCTTTTAAATAATCTCCACAAGTCAGTTTACTTTTATTTGGATTTTGGATTGCACTCTCTCTCTTGTGGATCGTTTTTTTTTTTTTTTTTGAATTTCTTCACCTCCTTTTTTTTTTAAAGTCTTTGAAAATAAATTCTTTTGATTTGTCTTTTTTTTTTATAATATTTAATCTGTCCTTCTTTCTTTGGATTAATCAAACCATTCAACATTTTGTCCATATCTACTAATTGTATAAAAGGTCATGCTAACGTGTAATTTAAGGATTCATGTTTAAAAAATTACAAATAAATAGTTTATAATAAAAATAGTTATAAATTAATTATAATTTTTAATAAAAATTATGTTTAGTTTCCAAAACAAAGTTTTCTTATTTAATTCTTAATTTGTGTTCTTATAGGACAAGTTACTATTACCTTTATATAAAATAAGAAGTGTATTTGAAAAAATACAATATATGTGACCTCTATCGTGTATAATGTGAATAAGTGATCATTCTTTTAACGGAGTTTAATTATAACTATTATAATTGAATTTGGCCCTCTGAGGAGTTTTCTTACACTTAGTATTTTTCATGGCCTTGTTACTATACAGAGTATGAATGGCAAAAAAAAATTTCATGGCCTTTATTTCGTTACGGTCATTATCCTCTTAAGGAATAATAAATGAGCATATTTGTTTCGTTTAGATTCGTCCTTTAAAAATCTATAAAAAATAACGCGAATGTGACATAGTTAAAAGTGCAGGTCTAAAATTTTGATCCGCCTGCAAAAAAATATCATGGCGAGCGTGGATACTACAACTTTTAAGCCTAAAAATAAAATAAAAATATGTTAATGTTTGTGCGCCCGCTAAAGTCGGTAAAAAAATAGGATGGAATAAGGAGGACATATTAGCGAGTGGAGACCTTAAACCTTAATCGTCTTGCAAAAAAGTGCAGGTAAAACGGGCATGTCTGACAGGTCGAACCCATTTTGCCACCTCTAATGTCGAATGCATCTTCATGCCATCATTATCACATTTTTATTCATCTGGGTTTCGAGTGCATAATATATGATAAGTTGTTACGTGGCTCATGGTTGTGTCAGCTTCATATCCCTAAAGTTGAGTTGTTTTCTTAGTCTGGTGTCCTCACCCTTTCATTATATCGTGGTGACTCCTAGTCGAATTTACCCCACTTAGGTTAGCATAAGCACTCTCTAAGATTTTAGTCTATTCTAGAGCGAGCGTGTTGGGTCCTAGTGTTGTAACAGGCAAAAATAAAGAGTCGCCACTATTAATTTTTGTTCTAGAGACGGGAAATAACGGGTAACCCTAATTCGTACAGAGATTCTAAATTCGTAAGTAAATTAGATTAAGGGGAGATGTTAGACACCCTCCATCTCCTTTATTTTCAAGGGGTCCCGCTTTTAGGCTTAAGAGTAAGATGGATATTTGGTAGTTAATATTTCTATATGTTGAGAAAAAGATTTAATTTTTTAGTTGTGAATTAGCCTTGGTTTTAACTGCATGCCTACGTATCTCCTTATGAAGAATTAGAGTCTAATTTCGTAGTTCGAATGTGTTTGGTTAGTTTTTTTATGGATTGTGGAAATGTTTAAAATTATCCTTGAACCTTATATGAGTTTGAAAATAGCGTAGTCGTAGACGCAGTTCGCAGTTAATAGAAAATATCTCCACAAACCTTTTTTTGAAAATAAAGTTGAATTTGAAATTAAGTTAGTAGAAAAAGATGTTAAGTTTGATGGGTTAGTTGTCCTAGAAATTATGATGCAAAAAGAGATAAGTTTGAATGGTAAAAAATGTTTGATAAAATAGAAAGAGTGGTTAGTATTTTAGAAAATAATCAATAAATAATTATTTTTTTATTATTAAAATATATCAAATATTTTTAATATTAATTCAATATCTATTTATTAATAATTTTATGAAAAAATGCAAAAAAATATATTTTAATGCAATATGTTAAAAAATGAGATATTATAAATAAAATAAAATAAAATAAACAAAACAAAATATTAAAATAAATTAATTAATTAATTTAACGTTGGGAGGTGCATAAATTAAATCACGAGGGTGTAAATTTGAAGGGCTTAAGCCCAGAACCATGTTTGAATCCAATAAGGCACATGGGGTGTGATTTTGAACGCATGAAGTAAAAGGATGGTGTAGATAGAACGGGCCTAAGCCCGGGGTTTTGTACAAGAATCCCAAACCAACTCTGGGTTTGTTTGATCACCGTGTGGGGGGAAGCACACGTTATGGTGGACTAGCGCAGATCAGAGACGCTCATTCCAATCAATGGCCCTCAAGATTTAATCTTGGGACATTGATCTGGAGGTATGTTGAACGAACGATTGGAATCCATGGATTGACTGGGAGTATAATGAGAGCAAGTGCAAGTGACCGGTCAACGATCACCTCATCCAGGGGCTCTCAAGGAGCCACCTGGCGCACATCAGCGAATGGAGGGAGCATTATATAAACAAAATCATGATCTCTAGGATCATTTTTTGTCCTTTTTTCTCTCTCTACACCAACACAACACAAACCCTTTATAATTTTATAGAGAGAGAGGTTGTGTCTTCTCTCTAGAATTTCGGTGACCGAAAATTGCCTTGGCCAGCAGCGTCGCCTTGGGCTGTCTTGAGCCACCATGAATTCCAGTTCTCCGGTTGAACTTCAACCAGGAACTTCAAACCTTCATCTGAGCCACCGTAAGTCAATCCGGAAACCTTCATATCTTCATCTGGGTTCACATGAACCCTGTGAAGATCAACCCTGAACCCTAATGATCTTCATCCAAACCCCCAAGAACCCTAAGGGTTCCATATGAACCATAACCCTACTTCTTCAACCCAAACCAAATCACGAAACCCTAAGGTATTTTACCTAACTCTAACCCAAATCACAAAACCCTAAGGTGTTTTACCCTAACCCTAAATCAAAACCCAGAAAACCCCAATTCAAATCAAATTTCAGAAAAACAATAAACCTCGAACACCAATCAACATCAACAAATTATAAACCCTAAGCTAATTTTTTAGAGTTATCGTCTGTGTCTTGAATCTTTATATGATTTCCTCTTCTTTTTGTTTCAGGTACTTTGAATTGAGCACTGGGGTCGAGCTCTGAAGAACTTAGGGTTTCAGTCGTGAAACCCAAGTTTTTAATGAGAAGAGCTTTGGTGAATGGTGTAGGGATTTAGAAGCAATACAAAATCTTCAAGGGTTGTTCGTCCTCAATTCAACAGTCTAAGGTTTGATTTATAGGCTTTAGGAATTGTTAGATTAGGAAATTAGTTGTAGTGATTTCTGTTATATTATATAATTGATTCAATCAGAATCAATTTAGGATTAGATTAGATATCATTGTAGAATAGTGTTGCACCCCAAAATTTACCCTCTTGATTTAGGCTTATGTTTCATCATGAATATCATATTGCATTGCATTCATACATTATGATGGGATCAAAGTACTTTGGTTATCAAGTCTTCCTCAAGATTTGAAGGTTGATTGCATTGACAAGTTGCTCAAGTATAATCTTATCATCTAAACCTCTGGATCTTTCAAGCTCAAAAGTTATTGCATATCTCAAGATGTTTTATCCATCTCTTTGGATCATCAGAGGATTGAAGTTTGTGTTTGATTATAAGAGGAATCACTCTTTTGATTCACCAATCAAATTAGGGTTTTGTTTGATCAAGGCTATTGATGCATGAGCAAGTCTTGATTTGGGAGCTACAACATCTCTTTGATATTTGAAAAGTCTTTGTACAAGAAATTGGTCAAGATGCCCAGAGGATTTGAAGTTTTGAAGTATATTCATCAGTCTCCTAAGGGTGTTAACCAAAACTAGGGTTTGAGATTTCATCAAGATTTCTTGAGAATTTTGAAGTGAAACTTTGTACATGGTCTCTATATATTTGGAAGATCATATGTTTGAAGTCTTGATCATCAATTTTGAAGGGAAGTGGATCAATTGATTCAAAGGGGCAAAATGGTCATTTTGGTCAAAATCAGTCAAAATCAAGAGTTGACCAAGTTGGACTTTTGGTCAGCCATCAATTTAAGCATCCTCTTTTCATATTCCATACCCAAATTCATCTTTGAATCATGAGAAATGGTGAATTTGAGTGTGTTGTACCTCAAAATTTGCCCTCTCTTTTCCACAAGAAATCACAGCTTCGGGCTTTTCCTGATTTTTCAGATTGGTCTAAGAATCGGTCAAAATAGACTTTTCTCACCAATCAGACAAAATTAGGGTTTCCATTAACTTTTGAATCAGTTCAAGCAGATGGCTAGGGTTTGGTTGAGTTTGGCTCAGTGTGTGATCAGGCAGGCACTTCTTTGACAGTAAATCCAACATTAGGGGTTGCACACGCATTTTCAGAAGAGTTTGAATCCACAGTGTCTTAATTGGCTGTTACACTGCTTTGACGTTTGCTCAAGATTTCTGCTTGTTTCTCAAGGTCTAAACATCTGGGACATGGGTTGAGGCTGCTGATTGAGAGTTTGAAGTATTGGTCTAATCAGTAAAAGGAAAGGACATATGGGCATTTATTATGATTGACTGTGCAATACTTTTGATTATTCGGAACGCCGGATGTTTATTGATTATTTATCATTTCTAAATTAAAATTATTGGATATTTTCCAGTTATTATAATTTAAGAAATATAAATAATTAAATAAACAATTGAAGAAGAATTAAAAGAGATTAATTGACAAAAGAGCTTTTATTTATTTTCAATTATTAGTACAAACGTTATTTGAATACATTTACAGTATTTACAAATAATGTTA